CTCCTTAGTGTAACACTCTAATGTAATATACAAAAAAAAAAAAAAAATCCTTGTTGTAACCCTCTAATGTAACACACACAAAAATTTCTTTGTGTATTTTTACCAAACGTAACATTTTAATATAATACTAAAAAAAAATTATTTAGTGTAACACTATAATGCAATAAATACAAAAATTGTTTAGTGTAACACTCAAATGTAACACACAAAAAATTTCTAAGTATATTTTTCCCAATTGTAACACTCTAATATAATACTCTAAAAAAAATTCTTTATTGTAATACTCTAATGTAACACACAAAAACTCCTTAGTGTAGCATTCTAATGTAACATACACAAAAAAATTTCTTAGTGTACTTTTTCCAAACGTAACACGTCAATACAATACTCAAAATTTTTTTCTTAGTGTAACACTTTAATGTAAGACATAAAAAAAATTATTTAGTGTACTTTTCTCAAACGTAACGCTCTAAGTTAACACCAAAAAAAAAAAAAAAAAATCTTTGTTTACTTTTCCTAAATGTAACACTCCAATGCAACACTAAAAAAAAGAATGTAAGATTCTTCAAATCATTCCAAAAGGAGTATAAGGCCAAGTTTGGCAACCCAAAAATAATCCATCTTTTTATCTTTTTTCCATCACATCACCTCTCTACTTTTCTGCACATCTTTTCATAAAAAGACAAAACGTGCACTTATTTAGGTCATCCCAAACAACTCCTAAATATTCCTTAGTAAGTTTTGGGCCAATGTATAATTTCAAATTGTAAGTGTTACGTTTGGAAAAAGTACACTAATAATTTTTTTAGTGTTTTTGTGTGTTACATTGTGGTGTGTTACATTGGAGTATGTTACATTGAAGTGTTGCGTTTGGGAAAAGTACACCAATGAATTTTTTAGTGTATTATATTAAAGTGTTACGTTATTTAGAGTGTTATATTAGAGTGTTAGGTTTTTGTTTGTAACATGGGATTTGTTCTAGAATGAGAGAAAATCCAAGACTTCTATAGTGCAAATTACCCAAATATGTAATTTTACATTTTGAGAAACCCACTTTTATTCCTAAAAAATTAAACCAAATATGTAAGTGACTACCCTTTTATGTAATTTCCATTTTAATGGGACCTTTGAGTTCATAAAAAAAAAAATAAAGGATTAAATAGTTTACAAAATCACATTTTGGGATTTAATTGTCTTTCACCCTTTTAAAAAGTATATAGAGAAAAAATTTATTTTAGAAATTATGTGCATGAGAAGATATGTAACTTTTGAAATGAATTAGTTTTACTTTCCTTTTGAAACTCATTCATGGAATTATTATAATTTTACCTTTCATAGTTTAATGAAAGCTAGCCAATAAAATTCTTTAAGGAAAAATGATATAGAAATCCATTTTGTAGGCCTATTTTATAGATCCAATGATGTGTAAGTGATATAATTAATTGTTGATTAGAATATATATAAGAGAAAGTATTACTTTTAATATCATAATTGATTGTTACATTACTTAACTTGAAAATTGGGTCTAATTTTTTGTCTTAAATAGCAATGTTTATTTTTTAATTGTTTAAAAATTAGAAATTGAAGAAATCTAAAAAGGCATGCATGGTGGGAGTTTATTTTGGAAATAAATATTTGTGCATTAGAAGAGAGATAAATTTCAAAGTGAATTAATATATGGGCAATGATACATAGCTCAAAAAATATTAGAGCTCTCCTAAAGCTTTATTTTTAGAGCTTCAAAACTTTCCTTTTAAAACTAAAAAATCATAGAATAATTAGAGTTTTTCTTAGCCAATTGATTTTTTTTTAATTGGTTAAAAATTAGAAATTCAAGAAAATTAGGATGAGATTTTTGAGCTCCAAAAGGCTTTCTTGGTTAAAAATCCCATTTTGTTAAATATATATATACATATATTACAACAACATTTCAATGATAAAAGCTAAGGAATATCCAAGATATCATCTTAAAATTCTTAATTTTTGTTATTTTAAAAATATTAACAAAATCCTATTGGCTAACACATCATATTAATTACATAAAATTAATTATTATGTTGTTATACCTTTACCATTATTTTCTAAAACAAAAATATTGCTATGATTATGCCATTCTTCCGTCAAATAATAATTATTTTATAATAGAAATTTTTTCGATTTTCTCCTTCTTTCGCTCTCTCCAACCTATTATTTTTTTCACCCGAAAACCCTAGCTGCCATACATTTTTTTTTTTTTTTCACGCCATTCCCAACCTCCTCACCCTATAAAGGTCAAGTTCATGCAACTCATTATTTTTAATCTCTTCTTCGAAAACTATTATTTAAACAATATTTTACATTATTTCTCTTTTTACTCTATCTTACTTTTCTTTTTCTTTTCTTTTTTTACTTCAACCAATTTCCGTATTTTAGGGTTATTTAGGGTGTCATAAATAAGTGTACTTTTTGTCATTTTAGACTAAAAAATTGAAGAAAAAAATATGGATGTTTGGGTTAACTTTTTGACTTTTTATGAAAAAATGTGTATTAAAAAATTGTATAAATTAAAAAATTATATAAATTAGTGTGTAGGGAAAAATTAAGATTGAGAGTTGTGTAACCGTAATTTTTGACTTTTAGTGAATAGTGATAACTTTTTAAATTTTTGAGTAATTTTTTGACTTTTTAACTTTTTTTTAACTTGTCAAACTTGACCTTATTGCTTTTCATATTTCTTACATCAAAGAAGTTTCAAACTTAATTGGTAGGGATTAGCGTGTTTTAGAATAGGGGATGCTGCAGCGCAGGCTGCACAGCAACAAATGCTGTGCAGTGAAATGGGCCCAGTTTGGGACCCATTTTGATAATCAGAGCCATTCATATTTTAGAATATATCAAGTAGAACATGTCTGCAAAAAATCAAGTTACTCGGATACCGTTTACCAATTTATTCACTCACATTTGTATCTATAAAAATAAAAAATAATTGTGATTTAAAGTATTAAAATGAATTCAAATGTGAGTGGATGAATGAGTAAGCGATATTCGATTAACTTGATTTTTTACAAGAATGTTCTACTTGATATATTTCAAAATATGAACATTTCGAATTATCAAAATGGACCTCGAAATAGGCCCATTTCGCTGCCCAGCAGTTGCTGCTACGCAACTTGGGTAGCAACATCCTCAATTCCAATTTTTTGTGGGTATTTGTTTTTATTTAATTATAGTTTTTAAATGTCAAAGATATTATTAAATCAATTATATACAAAATGGCAAATGTCAATATTACATTATTAAGCAATTTTTTTGTTGAACTTTTTAATTTCCGTGCATAACTTTGGTGTTAAATTAGAACAAAGTGACATTTTAATGATAAAAGTTTTAAAATTTTTCAAGGCTTCATACATTTTTTAACTTTCGTTATTTTTAAAACATTTATAAAAAATTTTATTTGCTAACTTAGCATATTAATTATTTAAATTAAGAATTATTGACAAAAAAAATTTACCTGAATTAATTCTTTTTGATATTTTTTAGTGTTTAATTCAATATTAGAGCTTCCAAATTAACTCATATCAGTTATGAACTGATAAATTATGATATAATTTAAATTTATTAGGACTAAGGCCAAGTTTGGCATGTGCCCAAAAAGTTAAAAAATTACTCAAAAAGTTAAAAAGTTATCGCTATTCACCAAAAGTCAAAAAGTACAGCTGCACAGCTCCCAATCATAATTTTCCCCTACACACTAATTTATACAATTTTTTAATATATATTTTTCCATAAAAAAATCAAAAAATTAACCCAAGCAACCATATTTTTTTTCTCAACTTTTTAGGATATCCCAAACAACCCCTAAGAAATGACCTACAATTTAGGGGGCTTCATCTTAAATAATTTTTTTATACATAAATATATATAACTATTCATTAAATTGTTTTAAACATAAATATAGAGTTTTTTTTTTGTTATTTTTTTATTTTAAAACTATAGTTCAAACTTTTTAATAAGCATGCAGAAAATAAGTCCATATTTCTTATTTTTATTATAAAAAATATTTATAAATATTTATTTACTAATCTAATAAATAGATAAGTCAAATGATTCATATAAGTTGAGAACAGAGCAAAATAATTTTTAATGATAGTAAAAGACAAGTTGGCATAAATCTAATGTTAAGCCCAAATTTAATATCCTAATTTATTTTTATGTAAATCTTATAACATTAGACAAATTATAATTTTCAGACTTCACAAAACATGAAAAAATTACTATATTGACAAATGCAATTTACCACTATCATATGATAAATTAAATTTACGAAACTCATAAGATGAAATGTATTTATATTTTATTATAAATATAATTTTTGTGATTTGTTTTTATTTTTTTACCACTTAAATTATGACATATATTTGTTATTAAGAACTTAGAGCATACAATTAATGACATTAGAATAAAAAAAAAATCTCTTATATGTAACTGTGATAAAAATGAATAAAATTTAATTAATTTTTAATCATTTTTGTTAAATATTATAGATAAATTTTTTAGATTATTATTTAATTTTAAAAATTAATTTTTGATTATTTATTTATACCTATGCATAGCATGAGTAATTATGTTAGTATACCATTATATAAAAAAATAGAGAAATAATATAATCTAAAATAAATTAAAACTCAAAATTTAACTTTTAATTAGTTCCCAAATTAACCTACAGGCTTGTTTTAAAAATTAAGTTAAAAATTAATTTTTTAATTTTTTTTTAAAAACGTAAAAAAAGAAAAAAAGAAAAAAAAAAGAGGGAGGGAAGAGTTGTCACTCAAAAAAAAGTCAAAAAACCAAAATTAACCATGTTCCAAAACAAGCCATAGTTCGTGTCCACTCCTTATTGGCAAACCTGAGAGCACACGGATCGCATAAAACTTACCCAGAACCGTCGATTAAATTCTAATCCAACGATCACAAACACAGAATCCCTTCTACACCACCGTATATATATAAGAATCCTCCCAAAATCAATCAATACGCTTTGCTCGGACAAAAAAAGCATCACAATAGCTATATAGTGGCTGTTTGTTTCTCGGGAAAATCGGTTTCTGACTGAGAAAGCACAGGAAGAAAATGGATGCCGGTGGAAAGGTGAAGAAAGGTGCCGCAGGAAGAAAGGGAGGCGGTCCGAAGAAGAAACCGGTTTCCCGGTCCGTCAAAGCCGGTTTACAGTTCCCGGTCGGTAGGATCGGCCGGTACTTGAAGAAAGGCCGGTACTCTCAGCGAGTCGGTACCGGTGCTCCGGTCTATCTTGCCGCCGTGCTCGAGTATCTCGCTGCTGAGGTCTCTGTCTCTGTCTCTGTCTCTGTCTCTGTCTCTCTTCTGTTCTATATTCTGTGTTCAAGTTTGTGTTTTGAAGTAAATGTTGAGATAGTTTGTTTAATGTCTTCAATTTATGTGCTGGGTTTTTTTTTTTTTTTTTTTTTTTTGTTTTTTTTTTTTTTTTTTTTTTTTTGGGAATGTGAATTTTCTTTGAGTTTGGTGTTTGATTTTCAAATTTTGCATTTTTTTTTTAGTTATTGTGAAATGTTTTTGGGGTAAGCTTATTGATATGTGTGTTTTACTAGGTTTTGGTTGTTGGATTGGATCTAGTAGGGCTACTCTTTTGTTTAAGTTGTGAAAAAAGCCCTAATCTTCTGTTTGGGTTTTGAAAAATGAAATATTTTCACTTTTTTGTTGGTTCATGTTGTGATTCTTGGCTTGTTAAATTGTTTAGGGTTTAGTTGAATGGAGATACAACCTTGAAATTGAAATCATTTGGTTGATTTCATTTTTTTTTTTCCTTCTGAGATTGCTTCCCTCAGTTAGGAAGAGAATTGTTATGAATTTTAATCTGATGCTATATTGGCTATCTTGGATTTAGGGTTTGTTGAGGGAAGTGAAATTACTTGGTCTTGTCCATTTTTTTATGAGTAACCCCCAAAATTATTAATGCTTATGCATTTTCGTAGCTGAACCTAATTAGGGTTTTCTATGTCATTTTCCTTTTCCATTCCTTCGATGAATGATATGGGAATTTTGGGGGAAAAAAAGAGGAAAGCAAATTCTCTCTCAAATGATGGAATCCATCAAAGAGATATGGTGGTGTTTGGGAAGTTTGGGACTTTTTTTTCATAAAGAGACAAACTTTTTGCAAAATAAAAAAAAACATCTAAACAAAATATTACATTCAACTTCATAATTATTTTATTTTATTTTCTCACAAATATTACATCTAATCACAAAATAAACTTACATTTCTGAGTTCTTTATTGAGAATAAAAACATTTTTGACTGAATGTAATTAAGAAAAAGTTTGATGCCATGTCTTTGGATACTAGTGTCAATAAATCCCGGAACCAAATTAAGTTTAAACATAGAAAAATAAAAGAAGGGGAAAAGAAAAGGTAGGGCCTGCTTGGTGCATTTTATGGAGGTTGCATATGATGTTTGGTTTTGTATTTTATGATGCAACAATTGCTTAAATAAATTTAAAAAGTTGATTATTGTGAAGTTGGGTGACATTTTTAGCTTTTTGGTTTTGATTATTAACTTAGTTGACAAATAATTGGACTAAAATGATAATAAATTAAATATGCCAATTTTGTTTATTTTCCTGTACAGTTTAGCTGTGGATGAGCAATGTCTCTTAGTGTTTGATTCATTGCAATGAAATGATCATTCTGACAAAATATCCATTCTTATGTTTGGTTGATTAAAAAAATAATGAAAATATATTATAAATAGAATGATTATTCATCATTGTAAGGGAATAATCATTCCATAATGAGTTTAGGGAATGACCATTTCATAATGAGTTTAAGGAATTACTATTTCATTTCAGTCCATTTCCATTCTATGTCATTTTAGTGAACCAGACAGCATTAGTAAATTTTGTATGATCTGATGATGGCTATGGTCGGTGTTGGAATTGTATTAGGTTTTGGAATTGGCTGGAAATGCTGCAAGGGACAACAAGAAGAACAGGATCATACCAAGGCATGTGCTTCTGGCTGTGAGGAATGATGAAGAACTTGGAAAGCTACTTGCTGGAGTGACAATTGCTCATGGAGGGGTGCTACCCAACATCAATCCTGTTCTTCTCCCTAAGAAAAATGAGAAGGCAACAAAGGAGCCCAAGTCTCCATCCAAGGCAACCAAGTCACCAAAGAAAGCCTAACTTCTTAAGAGTGTTAAAGAGAGAGTCTTGTTTACTTCTCTCTGTGTATGTAATTTCCTTTTCTGTTTGGTATGTAGGAAAGCTAGCATCATGTTGTTAGGGATTGTGTACTCTTTGTTTGAATATGCTTGTTAGCACATCAGTGTTGGAAATCACAGAAATTAAATTGTTAGTTTCTATTCTTAGTTGCCAATTTGATGGATTCTTGTTTTTATTTGCTCTCTCTAAATGCGGGTTTGGCTTGTCGTGTTTTATTGTCAAACATATTTGATGTTTTTGTTAAAAAAAAAATTGTAAATATTATTGAACTGGTTGATTGATATCAAATGGGTTAAATCTGGATCAAACACGACCCTCTTGTAATGCAATCTTCTGATGATAAAATGCAAATTCTTTCATTTACATGGTGGTTTATATTTGTGATCTGTGGATAGTGAAGTTGTGGCACAATAATGTAGAGCTGAAGGTACTGTCTCCATATAAATTGTAGAATGAACAGTTTGGGTGTTACACATTTAATGTGAATAATTGAATATTAGTGCTAAGTAGGGGTTTAATTGACCACCGACAACCTATCATCTTTGTCCTCTTGCGACAATGACACTACCGACCACTGCCACAATGAGGAGATCCGCAACAATGACAATGTTGAGTTAGAGATTTTGTGAAATTGTGTTTTGAATTTACAAATGGATTCAATGTATGTTTATGCATATGTTATATTTGTGTATTATATGTGTTTGAAAAATGTTGAATTACAAAATTTGCATTCAAGACTTGTAAATTTATAGATCAATTTCAAAGTGAAATCAGTTTGGCTCCGTTTGGCAAGAGCTAAACGGGGTTTTTTTGGCTATTTTAGCCACAAAAGACAAAATAGGCTATTTTAGCCACAAAAAACAAAATATCACATTCAACCCATAATCATTACATTCTTCTCTCACAAAAAAAGTCAAAAAAATCAAAAAGTCAAAAAGTCCTTCCCAAACCAAACTTTTTAACCCAGACTAAAATAGCCAAAAAAGCCAAAAAGCCAACCCACTTCCCAAACGGAGGCTTTGTAATTCTGTATAAACTAGTAGTAACAGTGTTATGCACGAGATTTTATAAATTTAAAAAAGTTATTATAATTATTTTAAAATAATTTAATATTTTGTCTTGTGGTATACATAAAATTTATAAGTTAATTTTTATGTTTATAATTTTTTAAATTATTAGTTTAAAAAAATTTAAATATATATATATATATACTATAAGTGTATTAAAAAAAAAGTTAAATTTAATTAAATAAGATTAAATGAGTTATGACATACATTTTCTTGTTATGAAAATATACAAATTTAAAAGTTATAATTAAGACAAATATACAATTTTATTATTAAATGTGAAGTGAAATGATATTTAATTATAATTAATATGATGTTTCTATTATTAATCTCATAATTTAAGTTACATTTCTTTTGATTTCAATTTCATAACTAAAAATACAATATGAATATAATACACACATAGATTTAGTGTTTAATATTTTCAAACTTTCATAATTTTCTTTTTATTTTTTTTTATCTAATTTGATTTTAAATTTGAATAGAATTTTTGATTTTATATGAATTATTTTAGCTTTTTCATCAAATTTTTATCAAATTTTAAAAGAATTTCAATCTTATCCCAATTCCCCCCCCCCAACCAATTTTGATGGAAAAAACAATAATTTTCACATTTTATCTTTTTAAATTTTAATCAAATTATAATTTGATAAATAAAAATATTAAGAGTTGAAGATTCTGGAATTATAGTGAAATAACATCTAGAAATAGTCAAAGTTTGAGTATGTGGTTGGTTGAAATATATAATTTAATTAATTCTTTTCTCATATTTGTGTAAAAATTGACACTTATGATTACATCCTTATAAGTTAGATTATTGAGGAAAAAAAAATTTGAGGTGTCAAATATTTTCGATTTGTAAATATCCTACATATTAAGGCTTGATTTGGCATGTCTTAAAAAAAACAAAAAATTAAAAAATTACTCAAAAAGTTAAAAAGTCATCACTATTTACCAAAAAAATTAAAAAATTAATTTAACACATAATTACATTTTAGACAACTCTGTCGTCCCACAACGGAGTGCCTTTTTGGAAAATTTGCACTTATTTAGGTACACAAATAACACGGTGCTCTTCGGCCCATAGGGCCCCATCACAGGTCCCGTTTTAATAATCTGAACTGTTGAATGTGTAGAACCCGTCGAGTACTATATGCCTAAAAAAAATCACGTTAATCGGAAATCGGTAACTATATGGTCAAATCAGTTAAAATTTATAAAATGGATGGCGTTATAGTTAACGGTAACTGCTCTGATCAGACAGCTGTCGATATCCGATCAATGTGATTTTTTACAAGCATATAGTATTCAACGAATTTTACACATCGAACGGTTTTGATTAGAAAAATGAGACTGTGGCAGGTCTCCACGGGCCGAACAACACCTTCAATTCACTGCCCGAAAAGCAGAGAACCATCTCCCCCTACTCTGCACACGCTGTCCCTCACCATACAACCTATTCCATCACAATCTTCTCCTATACATAGTTTATACAATTTTTTATACACATTTTTTCATAAAAAGTTAAAAAATTATCCCAAACAACCATCTTTTTTCCCTCCACTTTTTAGTCCAAAAAATCAAAAAGTGCACTTATTTAGGACACCCCAAACAACCCTTAATTTTTTTTTTGTGGCCTTTGAATATGTGTTTATCAGTTTTGTTTTATGAATATAAACAATTGATGTTTCAATTTAAAAATTAAAAAGTAAAAAAAAAATAGATTGGATTTTTTAGAGATAAAAGAAACTATTTAACTCTTCTATATACTATTTAAGATGGACTATTTAATCACATAAAAAAATAAAAATTATATTTAGAGATTATCCCTATATATTATGCTATTATATACAACTATAGCCGTAACAAATTAATTATAATATATATGAAAGGTTATATTAAGCTTTTATTTTCAATTAATTGAATTATAATTAACAAATTAACAAATAGCTGTAATTGTATAATAGGATAGAAAGAGGATAAAAATAAATAACACAATGATATTTAAAAGTTTTAAATTTACCTAATGTTGTAGTAAAATTTAGAATTCTCAATAAAGTTTCACATTTTCTATAAAATAAAATGACAATAAAAAATAAAAAAAATTTCTACCCATTTTTTTTATTTCAATTTTATGGTCTTCATTGAAGAAAACAAAATCTGATCAAAATCCTTAACACAGAACTAACATAGATATTTCAATTGCAATCATAATCACCAATAATTCTTCATAATCACCAATAATTCTTCTCTACCATGCAAACTTATAAATAAACACATAAATCTCACAAAAATTGAAACCAGAACTGTAGCGACTCTAATTTTTCGTAAGTCTTATTTATTATTATTATATTATTTTATTTTTGACTTTATTAATTACGTGGTTACATGAGAATTTAATATGGTATTTAATTATATATAATTAATCCAAATATTTATATATTTTTATTTATTATATAAAAAAAAGAGGTGTTATATATATATATTTAATCTTATATTTATATTTATATATATTATAATTATGTTGTATTATATAATATAATATATTATAATATTTTATTAGGTTAGAATAGGATTTGGTAATCTATCAAAAGAAAAGAAAAGAAAGAGAGGTACGACATCAAAGATAAAGCCGAGAGAGAGAGGGAGAGAGAGAGAGAGATTCATCCAAAACCATAGGCAGCGCATGCAGAGAAGAGAGAGACGGCTTGGAGAGAAAGTGGTGAGGAAGAGGAGACAAAAAAAAAAAAAAAAAGGAAAAAGGAAGAAAAAAAGATTAGGGTTTTGTTTTGGTGATTCCATTAGTTTTTCAAATAATTCTTTGATTTTTAAAAAAATATTGTGAGAACAAAACCTACTTTTCTTGATTTATATTTAATTCGTTGTTTTTATTTATTTATTTATATTTATTTAATGTTGAATTGATTTCATATTTGCATGTAGATGATTGATCGATTTTAATTATTTTGATTAGTTGTGCATGTAAGGTTTAGGATTTTTAGATGATTGATTGATTTTAATTATTTTGATTAGTTGTGTATGTAATGTTTATTGATTGATTTTAATTATTTTGATTAGTTGTGTATGTCAGGTTTAGGATTTTTATATAGATTTATTTTGTGGTTGTAATCACACTCATGGTTATATGAAATTAAAATTAATTAGGAACTCATAGATAAATTCCTTATACTCCACCATAACTCCATGGATTATTATTTTATTTGAGTGATTGTGAGAAAGAGTATATAAAAAAAAGTGAGGATTATGAGATTTATTTGAATGTCTTAGGCTTTGGCATTGTTATGTTGTTCTCATGACTGAGATGTTTTGTATATGTATATTGTTGCCTCCTTCTCATGAGTAGATGAGTACTTTGATTTACGCGCGTACGTATATGCTAACCATTCCGGGGAGTGTAGGTCAAATTCGGGATGATAACCCCTTATAAGTTTGGTTTCGGAGCGGTGTTAGGTATATGGAAGGCACATGGGATATATGTGTAGGCCGGAAATGGAGGCCGAAGTGGTGGGGTTAATGTACAAAGAATTTAATTATGAGTTTATTAGTATACTGTGAATTATATTGATTTGTATATCTTGAAAAATAGTAAACGATCTTGATAAATTATGAAATTTGAGTAGAGGCATGTATACGTGATTCTAGACAACTTTTGTGTTTTAACTTTTTATTAAAAAGACCGATTATAACTTATAATCGGATGATCTTGGTTATTGTAGTTTTAATTCATTTTAGCAATGCAAATTTTAGAGGCTGTTTTAACCCACAAAACGAGCTCATTTTTATTGGTTTCGCGAAAACTGAAGTAAAACATTATTCTGCACACTTTTTGTGTTTTGAACTTTTCCGAAAAAAATCATCTTAGGACAGTTTCTTTTCATTTTTAGTTTCAGATTTTTCGGTTGAAATCCGTCTAGTTTTTTTTATCAAGTTTTTCTCTCAACCTGTTCAGTTTCTACTAAATTCATTCACTTTGCCTTTTAGAAAATTTGATTATGTACAACTTTTGTTCTTTGAGGTTTGGTCAATTCGAATTATTTAAGCATGAAATGGTGCATTTTTATACTTC